AACGCTTGATACATGTATCCTCTCTGATACCCTACTTCCACGATATTTTTTAGCCCCACAAGGAACGGTGAACAAGCGATGTCTATGCTCAAAATCCAAACTACGTACCTTTTCAAAGTTCGCGCCAACCACAATCCGTACGGGGCCCTTGTCATCACGTGGAATTGGCGCGGATTTATAGTACGGCTTGATCTTGCCTAGGAAGACAATTTGTGTAAATTTGCCACTATGCAATTTCCCTAACTTACCAGCATTGAGCTTCTTCATAAAAGCTTCCAGATTCTCTTCTAGTTCACCATCGAATTCTTCAGGGTCCATTGGGTATTTCTTTCCATCATGTCCGAAGACCAGCACATTATGTTCAAGTCCAGAATCACCTAAAAAATTTCAATTAAAAAGTGCCTGCCCAATAAATCCAAAAAAGTTTTGAAAAAGAGGTGAAGAAGAAAATATCGTTCTTACCTAACCCAGCACCTTGCAACTCATCAGCAAACTCTTCTTCATCAGCCACAGCAAAGTGATAATTATCTTTTTGGTACTGAAATTGATAAAAATTATAAAGCAATCAAAAAAGGAAAGGAAGCGAACTTTTTTGTTGAACTAACCTTCTGAGCAATATTCAACACTTTCTGTCGCCAGTATTCACTACCTTCTCTATATTGTAGCGAGAAATCAGCATCATAGTATACAACCACCAGCGGGAATTTTCCATATCGGGTTGGAATATTTTCCTAAAGTGCAAAAAAAAGTTTTGGAATAACTTGAGACCTTCCCGTGCAAAAATAAAGAAAATTTGGTAGCTAAAGCACAAAAATGATTGAAAAAAATATTGCAGGAGCATACCTTGGTTCTTTTTCCCACCAATGGAAGGCAGAAATTACGAAGGAACGAGACCAGCTCTTCAGCAGGTGCACCTTCCTGGAAAAAAGTAATTATATTGAGCCAGAAAATTTCTAAAATCGATAAAGGTTACTCCATACTAACTCTATTATAAGTCCTGCTCTTTGGCTCAAATTTGCTTTGGAACAGAGTTGGATAGAAAATGATCATATCATTCGGCTTAGCATCGTACTTTTTAAAAGCTTCCGGATCTGACACCCATCCTATGAATTTGAAATCCTGGAATACAGTAACCTACAGTAATCCAGACAAAGCTTGTAGCTGAAATGCACACCTCACGAAGCATTTCTGCAGCTTCAGAGAATGGCTCAAAGGCTGGAGAAGCATCACTTTCAAAGAAACCAATAACGGTTACATCTTCTTTCTGCATGAATCTAAAGAGTGAAAAAAATCAATAAAATCAATAAGATAAGAACTTTATAAACACATTGAAGTTCGACGACTCAAGATGCAGAATGAACGAAAAATTACAAAAACTGCAAATTATCTCACCTCTGCACTTCTCCAACACTGCCGAGTTTTTTCGCTGCTGGTAAAGATTGCTCTTGCATAAATTTAACAATTCCATAAGCTTCACGTGGTCCATTGTACTCATATCTGAAAGAAATTTCAAAAAATTATGTTTTAAAAATGAAAAAGACAAATTATTTGCAGAAGAGAATGGCTTTATTGAAAAAAAAACTCTGAGAAATCTACTTACCTCTTTCCATGTCGCATGACTTTCAGCGTTGGGAATCCGGTGACTCCATATTTCTCAGCCAAATCTTTCTCTACTGTAGCATCTACTTTTGCGAGTTTGATAGGGCTGCCTTGCGCCTGAAACAATACATCATAGATGCTTGACCTCAAATAAGAAATATTTAAGATCTGAGTTATAGCTATATGTATGGAATCCATGTAGCGTTTATGCTCCATATAGCGCTACTTGCTTATTTGTTCGAATTACATATAATGCGCATATAGTAGGAGAAATGAGTTGTATCTTGTATCCAATCTAGTTGGTAATTGTCAAATC